ATTTCATCCAGCTGCTTAACAACTATATTTAAGATTAATTACAGTATTTTTCATTCCATTTCTATCATAAGAAATTATGATATTCATTCAAATTCTTATAGTGCCTGGAATAACTTCTGAGTTTTCAGACTGGATCTATGCAAAGGCATCCTTTGCTTTTGTCCATGAAATCAAATTTTCCCTGATACAGTATTCAATCCATTGACTTTATCAGCCCATCCTCACTATCCTTCTATGCATCTGCCTCAGATTGAATGCACCATTCCTAAACACAGGAAACTGAGTTTACCCAGTATTTCAGATGAGGCCTTACCAGTTCCTTGTTTAACAACATTAATTCTTTCTTATCTCTGTCAGAAACCTCTCTCCTGGTAAACATCATCCCAGGATGTATCTGAAGAAATTTCCTTCAGTTAGAGGAGTGATCATTATCACTCTCGGTAGTATTGTTACCAACCTGTAGTGAAAATGTTACCCAGCCATCAACATTTATATGCCATTTATGTGATTAAAACATATCTACTGGTATAGTCTGCAAAATAATGATGTTTCTTAATTGCAGTCCAAGATTGTGTATTTTCAGATTCTGAAGCCTTCACACAACTCCAAGAAAAAAATACCATTTCCATACCAGCACAGTTACAGAACTTTGGTCCTGATTTAGTAATGCATTTATGCAGCTTGAGATTGGAAGTATTCCCATCACATTAGCCTTTAGAAGACTAAAACCACCATTCAAAGCTTTGTTGGGTTAAATGGGTTAATATTTCAAGGTGAAACCTGCAAAGGATCCTCGAGGCTGTTTTGCACTTATCTACTTCAGTCTCCTCTGACTTGAAAACTGTAAAATGCAAAAAGCAAATATTTTGCTTTTCTATTCTTCCTTTGAATAGACATACTAAGCTGTAAGAGCTAAGCCTGTATTCTTCCTTCTTGCCTTGAGCTAGAGCTTTGCCCAGTGCCTTCACACATTTAGAGAAGTGAAGTCTCATTTTCCACTGTTCTCCCGATGCCTTCCAAGTGCAAATCACTACAAGAGGATCACGTGTGACCGTATGCTAAATTAAGTTTGCCCAGGAGACTTCATTCATCGGTTCCCCAGAAACTAGCGATTAGCCCACGTAATCGCAAGGAGATACCATTTAATTCGAAACCACATAGTTTATTTTTAAAAATTAAACCGGAAAAAAATTAACATAATCATAAAGCCATTTTCCTTACCAAAACATAACAAAGGCGGAGGCTTTAAGATCACGCCCGACCTGTTAATTTGACATTAAGGGTGCTAAACACACGGCGCTGCTCCGTAGCAATCTGTACTACATCCTGTGTCCAAACACACCTCCTGTTAATTTGTGCCACCGCATATTTTGCTAGTCAAGAGCAAAGAAACCCAGCGCTGTGGAAGCTATTTATTCTGCCTCCAGGTATTTCATGAATATTAAATAAGAACAGATAGGAGCTGCTACACAAATAACTTTACAACTCGGCGGGGAGCTGCCCCGCTGCGAAACCCACGGGTCCCGCAGGAGCGCGGGTGGGACCCCGACAGCTCCCGGGGCGGCGGGAGCAGCGCCCTGGCACAGACCTCGGACAGCCCCTCGCTCCGGGGACCCACCGTTCTCCGGGAGCTCCGGGGGGCAGCGCCGCGGCCCCGCCGCGCGGGGAGCGGAGCGGAGCGGAGCGGAGCGGAGCGGCTGCTCCCCCTGCGCGGAAGGTGCGCGCAGCCCGTGCCCGGCGGGCTCCCACCGCCCCCTGCCCGCCCCGGCTCTCCCCGCGGCCCCGAGCACACCGGAGGGCGGCTCCAGCCCGGGCAGCCCGGCGGCGGGACCCGCGGAAACTTCGCGGGCGGGGCGGCACAGCCTTACCTTGATGATGCTGCTCCTCCGCGGGGTGGCCTTGGCCGCCTCCAGCAGGCAGGCGTCGGGGTCGGGCGCTGCCGCCGGCCCCAGGCTGCCGCCGGGGAAGCGCTCGGCGGTGCCGACGGCCGAGACGCCGCTGCGGCGCTCTCGCCTCCTGCCCGCGGCCCCCGCCGGGGCGTCCAGCGAAGCCGGCTCGGGCTCCTCCTCGGCACGGTGCGCGGCGTCGGCAGGGGCACGGCCCGCCGCGGGCTGCTCTCTGCCGCCGGCAGCCTCTGCCATCGCCCCGCCAGCGGCGTCAACTTCTCCGGGGCGCTGGGAGGGCGGAGGGGGGTCACACGGACGGAGGAGCGGACGGCGTCCCGCGGCGCTCCCCTCACGGTACGGCGGCGGCGGCAGCAGCCCCAGCTCTCCCCGGAGGAGCCATGGCCGTGCCCCAGCGCGGGGCGCCCGGCGGGACGCGGCAGTGCCGGGGGCGGGGGGCGCGCAGGAAGTGCAGCCACAGCCCCGCGCTGTTGTGACAGGAGCCGGGCGTGTGTTGACGGGCGGCACTGAGGGACGGCCCGCTCGGCCAATCAGCACCGCGCCCGCCCCCCGGCGGCGCCTCGGCGGCCAATGGGCGCGGGGAGGGGCGTGCCCGCGGGACGCCCGGACGGGCGGTCGGGGCGGTGCGGGCGAGGGCAGGTGGGGCTGCCAGGCCGTGGTCACACCCGGGCGCCCCCGCCACAACCCTCGGGAAGAGGGTGCAGGAAGGGCCGTGTCGCCCGTCGGGAGCTGGGTCGGCCCGGGAATGCTTCCCCGCGCGAGATTTACGCAGGTTTGGGCTGCTGCCCCCCGTGCCGGGGTAAAAGCAGCGTGTGGGAGAGGTGACAAGTGACACATCCCGCAGCGCTCGCCCAGGGGCGCTGTGGCAGGGGCAGCGACGCCGAGCGAGGGAGCGCTGCCAGCAGGGGCTGCGGGTGTGAGGTGAACCGGCTGCTGAGGGCGGGCCGGCGGAGAGGGTGCGAGGCGTGAGGGGGACTCACAAGAAACGGTGGAGACTCGCGTTGGGGCTCCTCCGTCTCTTGAAAACGAGCCCAGAGCAGGGCAGGTCGTGCGGGGCTGCGAGTTCGCCGCCCTTTCTCCGCCGCTCACTTCCCTCACGGCTCGTGGCGGTCCCGCCCCGCACGGCCCCGGGCCCGCACGGCCCCGCTCAGCCCCGCACAGACCTGGACCCGCACAGACCCGGACCAGTACCAATCCGCACGGACCTGGTCCCGCACGGCCCCTCACAGCCCCAGCCCCTCACAGCCCCGCACGGACCCAGCCCCGCACAGCCCCGGGCAGGGCCGTGGCAGGGCCGACACCGCCCCCTGGCGGCGCGCACGGTCCCCGCTCCCGCAGCCGCCGCGGTCCCGGTGCGGGGCCCGAAGGGAGGCGAGGAAGAGGAGCCACCCAGGAAAGGGATGTGTCCCAGCCAGCCAGGCCGAGAGCCCCGGCCAGCCTTCGGAAGAGTTCGCGTGAGCGCGGCTCAGGTGGTATTTAGTTATAATGAGATTATCTATGTGGAGACCTCGGGAAAGGTGGGGTGAAGGGGAGTGCAGCAAGGGTGAAAGCAGAGGAAAGACAGGTGAGAAGGAGATTATACAGTGAGATGGAAAATAGGAGGGGTAGGGCTGCACAGGCTGATAGTCACTGGAGATGTTCAAAATTCAAAATTACAGCTATCAGTTTTGAAGACAGTAAGGCTCTCTGGAAAAATTAATTTCCTCCGGGTTTCTAAAGTAATTCCTTAATGAATGTGTTTGGCACCTGTTGGAAATCAATGATTAAGCAAGAAAGAGTAAGAGATAACCTCCTTACCCCACCCAGTCATTAGTTACTAGCAAATGCCTGGCTACAGGGCATAATTGCTGCTTAAAGGATGTGAAATTTATATATCTATGTACATACACTATATATAATATTTAGAATTCCACATTAAAAAAATCTCAGAGCTTCTGTCAAGGTTATTGAGGCATTTATCATGTTCAACACAAAGAAATGCTAATTGAGGGACAGATCTTAATATAACTCAACTTTTTTCGTGAGCTTTCTTCTAAGTTTTATGTAAAAAAAGGTCATCATTCATGTCTACCACATTTACTTTGGTTTGGTCTGGTTTCTTTCAGTGTGAAAGAGCACAAAATAAGTAACCCTAAAAGAAAAAAGAAAATATTCACATTGAAGAAATATTTATCTTAAAAAATACTGGAGAGAAGAGACTTGTAAGTGAATGGAAGATTTAACTTCAGCCTGCATTGTACACAGAGAGAACATGCAACACTGCAACAAAGAGGGGGAAAAAAAAACCCAAAACCAACTAATAAAAACTTTTCCATATAGTGTCACACAGTCTGAACTAAGAAGACTAATTTGAAGACAATACAAAAGGTAATTATCATGCAGTATTTTAATAGAGGGAATTATTGCTTCATGTAGAAATGCATTGCAGCTTTTTCATATATTTTGTGAAATCATATGAAGTTTAATCCCTGGTTTAATCATTTGAGAACAGCAAAATACTGTCATAGCTGAAATCTGCTGCATCTACCAGAAACTGTCTGTAGCATGTTGCATGGACAGATGCATATAACATATTAAAGAACTTTATCCTTTCTAGGATTTGTCTTATACACTCAAAATTAGGGAGATACTTATTGTCAAATGCATTGTCTTTGGATATCAAAAGTTTTAAATCATTTAATTCTTACCTCATATTCCAACCTTTCACACCTGAAGTCTTCAACTGAAAAAGGTCTACAGGGAATGTATAGATTTTAAATTTCATAAACATCAAACCTACAGGGAACACACAGCTAATTATATTTTTGATCTGTTTGTCCACAAGATGCAAAGGTTTTAGAATTATGTATGGTACAGCTAACAGAGAGTTTAACTAAATTCTTCTCTAGAAGAGGACAAAAGGTTGGCTATTTTACTGACTGTGCATCTCTGGATTCTTGTGAGGCATCTGTATCTATCTGCTTCTGTTTGGGAAGAACCACGAATTATGAAGCAAAAGAGGAATTGGTTTTGATACTTCTTAATGTTTAATAAGAAAAGAGATTTAACAAAAGGAAGCTTTACACTAAAAGTGCTTGCATAGAAAGTAAAAAAATCAAGATTGGGTGGTGATAAGTGTATTTAACAGGTTTCTGTACTCAGTTTCAAGATGATCTGATGCAGCCCACTGTACAAAAACACTGCAGCGTTGTCTACAGTTACTTCAGATAGGGACAGATTTTCAAGAACAGTCAAGGAATTCACTCAAGCTAAGGAAGACAAGATGGTAGATAAAAAAGTCTATGTGTTTGCCTGAACACATGAGTCAGCAAGTGCCTGCAATGTCTATTTTAATGTGGATTTTTTTTTGTATACTCAGCTTACTCCGATCTCCATCCTTAAGGCACACAATTGTTCCTTAGTGGGTGTAGTTTGTATCATAAACCAGCTGAAAATAAGTTGTCTTGGAGCTGTGCTGAAGTATAGCCTACATAAGGCAGTAGTTTGCACCTAGACATTGAATTCTGGGAAGCTCTTAAGTATTCTGCTGGGAGCCAAAAGTGGTGCTCCTGTACCAATTGGCTGATGAAGTGCGAAAACTGGCATCTTTTCCTGTGTCATGAGCATCTAATTTGCAAGACAGAGAAAGCAGTAGGGAAAAAGTTGTGATTTCTTCAAGTATGCAGTGACAGCAAATCATAATTTTAGAATTGATGAGACTTATGCAAAGCCATTGATGAGAAAATGTTTTGCTAGGTAATTCTTAAAGTGATTTTTGTTTAAAGTCCTAGTGGTTATTGTGTCTGTGCTGTTATATCCTGAATGTGATATTATAAGACAACAGAAAAATAATTATATCATTTATTTATACAAATATGTACTTGTTGCTAAGCTTCACTCACGTTTTGGCAAGACAACCCCAAGTCATATTTTGCCTAAAAAACTATAATTAATCTTTCAGACTGGGAAAAAAGTGCAAGTTCAAAATAGTATAAATCAAAATAGTTAAAAGGTCATAAGCTTTCTTTAAAATATTGTGTGTATGTTTTCAAATTTTATTAATTTTTTAAAAATATTTACACTCCTTGATTCAATGCCTCCTAATTTTTTTATTAATTCTTGTTTTGTCTTGCCTCCTACTTCTTTGAAAAAGCCTCATTATACATCATAATGCATCATATACTCATAATACATCATATTATATTTTCCAGGTAGTATAAATGTTATATCTTCTCTAACTTAACAAGAGACACTTATGTGATATGACTCTATCTTAATGATGTTCTTGTTCCAGCTGAAGTCATTGATGAATTCTTTTCACTGTCTGATAATACTTTAATTGTTTTTAATAATTAGAATACTCTGGTTATAGAAGATTCCTGCCAACTCTTTGCTCTGAGAAACAATCCTTTATTTTAGCAGTACTGTCTGCCCAAATAGATATGCCAATTAAGTACGAGAAATAGTAAAATCAGGACCTTGGTTAGGTCATGTATAATATGATTTCACATCCACTGCTTACTATACAGACACAGGCCCAAACCCTTGGAGTGGAATGTACTGATTTCTATTTGGAAATCAGCACGCAGGGAAAGATCCTTAGCACTGCAAAAAGCCACCCAAAAGTTAGCAAGCACCAGAATTAAGGTTAGTAGTCCTGATGTAGTTTAATATCCTTTGGTGCAAATGTTGTGATCATGTGGAATGCTATAGGACTGTGGCTCCTCTCACTGCGTGGGATAATCCCTGTGAATGAGACTGCTTTCCTTACCTGGAGCTCTTCCAGACATGGCATTTTACTATCACCCACCTCCTTGTTCTCCAAGCTGTAGCAAGGTGTTCTGGCATTCAGTGTCTCCTCTCTCCTTACCCTACCTGGATCTTCCTAGTTACTGCTACCATCTCTGCTCACCAGTTGCCACAGTGAGCACAGGAGACCTGAGAGGACTACTGGACACTCTTGTCAGAATAGTTGTGGCTTTTCTTGCCATCAGTGGGGGTTACTTCTTTCATTACCCCTACTGTGGATTTGCTTTACCCATTGCTTCCTCTCCTGCAGGCTCAGCTCTTCCCACTGTGCGTTCAACCAACAGTTTCCTTCACCCCACACCTGCGCACAGTGGTGGGTCACTGCAGGAGGGAGCTCATGGCTCTGCTGGTTGACTTTGACCATGATACAGCACAACTGCTCCACAGCTGCAAAGAGACTGAATGGAACACGGGTTAGGTAAAGCCTGGAATGAAAACGGGAGTAAAATCTGAGCTAGAGAGCTTCTGTAAACAAATTTTGCAGAGGCATAGCAGGTAACAACAATTTAGTACACAGGAAAGAGCACGTTCCTGATAAGGAAGCAATTCTTCTACCAAATTTAGCATCAACTGCAAAAGAAGGTGACATTAGAATTTTTCTAAGGGACAATGGTAAGATGTCATGTGTTGTTTTGGTTTCGTAAAAAAAAAAAACATTTTTTTCCTAACCTGATTTTCAAGGGTAGATGTTTGCCAAGAGTGCATCTCCCTTACATAAAGACTCACAGCTTGAGTCATACACACACCTTCGGATTTTTGGCCAATGTGACTGAAGTTCAAGAAGTTAACAAGTAATTGAAAATAAGATTTTCCACGGACAACTTCAGGTAACCCCAGAAGTCATGCTACAACCTAGGCAAAACAGAGTTTATTCACTCGTGCAAACAGTGAAACTTTCTCAAGTTGCCCATGTTTAGTTTCTAGTTGTTTAGTTTGGGGGAGGGAAGAGAAGGCATGTTGTATATGTTATAACAGACACTGTCTTGAGGATTTGAGGGAGTCTTAAAGACGAATTCTTTTTCAAGTCTTATGATACTTAATGACTCTTGTTTAAGGTAGGTGGTAATTCCACTTAAAGAGGACCTTTACCGATGACTGTCTTTTTCACAGAGCTCATTTTAGCTCCTCTGATCATTGCTTTTAGTATTTCTTCGGCTGTGACACATGCATAGAAATCTAACTGTAGTTGTTGCTACCTTTCAGGCTTTGTGAACTTCCTTGTTCACTGCCATGAACAGTATGATCCAGTAGATGTATGCCACTTCCTGTATTCTTTGGTAATTACTTACCAAGAGGTTCAATTTCGTGCCACAAGCTGTTCTATGTCACGGCCTTTCCCATCCTTGCTAGCTCCAAGGATATATTCCGTGTTAGAAATGCAATGGCAGTACAGTTCCCACACACTTACATACAATTTTTTGGGATCATTTGGATTATCATGATCTGTGCAGCTGGCGGGGAAGCAGCATTAGTGTTAAATGATACCTATTAGCTGGGAATTATTCTTACTGAGAATAGAAAGCATTCTAGTAATATCCCAGTTCAAAAGCTACTCTTACCGTCTCTAATCTTGCCACCTCAGAAGCAAATTGCTCCCAATGTCAGCAGGAGTCATATTCATATCTACTTTGCAGTTAAAGACTTTGGAGGAAATCTGGACAGTATACCAAGAATGGAATTTAGGCTCTTCTACCTGTTAATCAGACATACAGTCTTTCTCCTGACATGCACTCCCCGAAAGCATAAACTCTTCATCCTGTACTTGACTGCCTGCATCCCATTTCAGCTCTGTTTTGACTCATTAGGTATTTAATTCATGAAAGAGGAAGGAATGCACTGGAAAGACTGCAACTACAGAAGCTTTTCATTCACAGGGGAAAGCTACATGGTAGGTTGATATGTATTCCATTACATACAGTTCTATACAGTACTACATGGGAAAGAACAAATTTATTGAAGTAAAGGTTGATTATTTTACTGCTGTTTTCAGCCATTTGAATAGTGTTTCTAAGCAATAGCAATTATGTTATACTCTTTTTTCCACTTTTACATGTAGAAGTGTTGAGTAGCAGAGAGCAGAACAAAAGCAACAGGAATGTGTAGGGATATATGCAAGTATTCCCCCATAAATGAGGGACCTGGTAAAACAGGAGTGGCTGTCTTATCTGAATCTCAAAAACTGCAGGTACAGAGTAATTTACCACGTGTACAAAAAATAAAGAAACAGCAAAACTGTAATGGGCAAGAATAAAATGGCTTGATTCTATACTTCTGTGTGCCATTCCACTTCAAATCACTGAAGTCAAAAGAGAGAAAAGCTTTTTGGGGCTACTGGATCTAAAACACAATAAAGAAAATTACATGAGTATTAAAAATTTCCCCAAGTATGTGGAATAAATTAGCAACATCATAACTACAGTAAATTTCTTTTTGTTTGTTTGTTTGTTTTGTTTGAGCTGGTACCTAAACATACAATGACATTTGAAGAATCAAGTTCTAAAAGGTAAGATTAGAAGCCACATTGATTTTCTCAGATGGTGGTTGAAGGAATAGGGAAAGGAAAAACCTGTTTACCTTATAAGAACACTTTAACATAACAACAGCATATAGATATTATTAAATTGCACTTATATCCATGTAACTTTACACTTCTGCTTTCCAGAGCAGCAAAGCCTGTCATTTTATCTTTCTTGCAAGTATTTTTCCAACCTGTCTTTCATAATACATGTCAATTTTTTCTAGTCTTTTCTACTTATTTATTTCTGTCTGCAGAATTTTATATTCGGTTCAGTGAAACATGTAAAATATAATATTATGACAACTGCAAAAGAATATTAAAAGCCTAAAATTTATCAGACTCAGGATAAGCATTACATTTTTGTTCAACTAAATGAAACACAGTAGGGGGAAATCTAGAGGAAAAGCCAATCAAGGCTGTTGCACTAAGTTAATGAGGAGTCTGATAAATTTCTCTCCACTCACCCCACTGGAGATCTATTAAGATTTCCATGTGACATGTATCTATGTGTTTTGTTGGTGGACTGTGCTTTTATAAAACAGAAAGGAGTCAGATTTCTCAGTAGACCTATTTAGTATTTCCCATTAATAACCACATTATCAGATTTAACAAAGGATTGTACTATAATTCTCCCATTTGCTAGGGACATTTATTAAAGTGCTGATAAGCTTTACAATTTCACTCAGATGCTACTACCTTTTCAAGTACTTTTCCAAATCTGACACTTTTAATTGTGACAAGTTCCATCAGCAAGGGAACTTTTATGCAGCAGTTTCCAGTAAGCTTTCCCCCCTTCGGGACAGGTAAGACAAAATGTACACAAATGCCTTTATAAATAAAGCTGAACTTTATAAATAAATCTGAACTCTGAAAAGAGACAGAAAACAAGCCAGTCTTATGTAGCAATTTTCTGCCAATAACCTATGTCATGCTAAAGTTTACTTTTGGAAAATAGGGTATTTTTAAACTAAGCTGTAAAACCTAATTATGTCTTCAAACTTGAAAGAAAGCACTAATTGCCCTGATATATTTTGAGCTAGAAATTATCCATAATAATGTTATTATTCTGCAAGGATGGACTGAATGAAGAAGCTTTTGTTGTGTAATAGCAACCTACCACTCTGGAAGCGTGATCTCGGATCATCGAAGTCTCCCAGTCTCCTCTGGATAATCCATTGCTGAGGGCTGGGAAAATGTGAAATAGGGAACAAATGAGCAACTCATGTAGGAGTAGCTCAGCTTGATAGATTCATAGGAAATCGTGTAACCCTCACTCACCCACGCCAGTATCCAACCCCCAGAGCCCCTCTGAGTCCAGCAGAGCACTCAAGTCCCCTGCAGTGCTCCTGACAGTCCCCTGTGCTACCCAGGACCTCCCAGGGAACCTTGTACTCCCTAAAGCTCCCACATACTCTCCCAGTGCCTCCAGTACCTCTGAGGGCCCTCCCAACAATTTTTGAGCCCTGCAGTACTCTGAGTACCCACCCTGTGATGATTACAGGGGTTAGAGGAGTAGTGGATACCGGCTAGCCATTATGTGGAGGAAAGGGGGGCACAGACAAGAGGAGGTGAGCAAGAGTATTGTTAGGGCAAGTGGAAACAAAGGAGGAGGTAGAGACAAAGGGCAGATAAAGTGATGGGAATTGGGATGGGGTCACGGCTCATCTAGAAGGGAGATGTGCCCAACTAACCCAAGAAAAGGAATGATGTGGGAAAAGGGCCTGTAAGATAGAAATGTCATATCAGAGAACTACACACAGAGCTTTCAATAAATGGAAAACTTCTCAGAAACAAGTAATTTCCTTCCATTTTTCACATGGCACTGACCATAACATTTTTACTCATTTTTACTCTTAAATGACAACCATAATGTGCTCCTAAGCACCATTAGATCTCTCAGGAGGTTTCCTCCAAGTCCTTGAATACATAAGAGCTCTTGGCTTTTTGATTGTTCTAGTTTAGTGTCAGGGTGTAAAGAATCCATTCACAAGCTCATAAGAAAATCACTGTGTACATCTTCATAAGTTACAGGTTTTTATTTTTAATAACAGTTGTATTCCATGCAGCAGGGACAGAAGTCAATTTTTTAGTAACATCCCAAGAGCTGTTTTTATGAAATTGAGAGCAGGAAGTAAGTAATCTTTCATCAGGTACACACTCTGACAAGGATATATTAGTGCTCATATTGCCATGAAAGGATCTTAACATGCTGGTAGGACAACTAGCATTATTATCTACAGATAGAAGACAATAGAAGCAAAAAAGGTAGCATGTCTTTTCCAAGGTCAGTGAATCAATCAGTGAAATGTATTACTCATAAAATCATCCTTGTCTTTTTGTGCCTGGAAAATTCTTTTCCTCCTTTCTCCTCCCAATCCATTTTTCCTCCCTACTTTTGTCTCTTGCTTTTTTCAGTTTATCTTTCCTCACTTAACCTCTGACTTTCTCTGACGCTAAAAAAAGGACAAAAAGCAAGAGCCTACAGGAACCAGCCCAGCCAGACTCTTGTCTTTGTCCAGCACTGCCTTTTAATTTGTGGGAGAGAACAGCAGGAGAGATCATTTCATGCTGTGTATATTGCTGACATGCAGTGTCAGGAAAAACAGTCGCACTCCTGACTTCCTTTGAGAGTGGCTCCCTCGGCCAGGATGCTGTTCCCTTAATGAAGCAGCCACGCAGTGCTAGGACAGCCCTGCAGCCTTTGTTGTAATATTCAAATCCTGTATGCATGGCATATATTTTTGCCAGCTGTACTAGTAATCCTGGTACATGTGTTGAATTTTCAGGTTTTAAATGATCAGAATAAAAAATAGCACGATCTTTCTCATTTATTTGCCAAAGTCCTGTTTTTTTTCACAACTGTCTTATTTTAAATATAAATGTCCTAGATTTGGTTTTTTTAACTAAAGGAGGAGGTATAATGTAGAAGATACAACAATTAAAACTATGTAAAATACACTTTCATGTTTCTGAACGTTTCTTTATTCTTTCAGCTGTTCTGACTTTAAATTCCCCAAACCAAGATATGAAGCACATGAAAGGCTTGGGCTATTCTGCCTTTCACATCATTAAAATATAGTGCTGTTCTTAGGATAAGCTTTGTTGCTGTCTGATAAATATTCATAAAAGTCAATGAATGCAATTCAGCAGAGTTCTGTAATCTCGCAAAATAACTATTTCTAAAAAATTCCCGTCAGCTCTGCTAAAATTGCTTTCACTTTTACAGTTTTCTCAGCTAAAAAACCCCACACTACTAAGAGTTAAGCATTATATTGTTATATATTACAGGCACAGAATTATTAGAAACTCTTCTAGGGTTGTAGGTTTTTATTCTGTGTGATAACAATAACGTTGCAGAAGCTGGTAGATGTTGAAGCAACAGCAGAAAAGTAAGGAGCAGTGTAAGGTCCTGTAAGGACTGCAGGTCTGTGCCCTGCCTACACTCAGGGAGAGTTAAATAATGAGAGGGGATGTTTGGTTTAGGTTGGATGGGTATAACTTGCATAAAGCAAACTTAAGCAACATACAAAGATTTGAATTCAACTAAAATGTATTTTATTGTAGACATTGTCAAAATAATATTCCTTGAAGTCTTTATTTTAAAGCACCCAAAAAAAGTAAACCACAAGAGTAGCTAAGGATAAATCGACCCTACAGTGATTCCTGATACTGTGTGTTGGGGTTGAGCTGCAGTGACTTAGCCTGTGAATGTTTGATCTCTTTAAAAACAGTTTTCCCACTGGGGTGGCATTCTAGCTCTCGTTGTCATCAAATCAAGGATTTTTGTCAGGCTGTACCTTTGTACCTACGTTGATTATGAGTTTGGCATTTGACTCACTCTTCTTTCCAGACCTGTTTAAGAGCAGAGGTATTTTCAGGGCAAACTGCATTTACAGACAGAATGAAATTATGGAACAGGAGAAAAGGTTGTAGTGCTGTTCAGTGAGTGACCCCAGAAGTACATCTGACATGAGCAATACCATTGGTGCTTCTCCTCCAGTTCAGTAAGGGCTGAAAAAAGAATAATTTGAGTTGGAATATTTTGAGGAGTGGCCATGAAGGTGTTATTTTCCAGCCCTCTCTGCTAGTACTCACCAAATTGCATCTGCAAGGTCATCTCAGGCCTGCTGTTGTACAGCTGTTCTCAGGGCAGCCTGCCTGCTTGAGAGTCTCTTTGGGAACCTTGGGAAGACTCCTTGAGTTGAAAAAAGGGCTTTCATTTCTTCGTGTTGACAACTGTACAGTCTAAACTATGTTTTCGCCTCCCATCAATCATGGCCTGGTAAGCCAGACCCAGGGAACTGCCTCACCTGCTTCGTATTTCTCCCGCAGAGGCCAGGTGAAACGCATGACTCTATTTTCCTTCCCGTTTCACGCCCTAGTCGGGAGGATAAAAACCCAGCTGGGAGTTAGCGCCTATCTCCTTAGGTGCTGGGGACAGAGCTGGAGGTTCCTCGGCTGCCTCAGGGCTTCCCAGCGCGGTACCGGCCGCTCCCCGCGGGGCAGGACACGCGCCCGGAGGCTGCGGGTGCCGCGGTACCCGCGGGGAGGGGAGCGCGGGCTCGTGCCCGGCTGGTGCACCGGCACAGGCAGACGGGGCTCCGGGCGCTGCAGCGGCCCCGAGGCGGCACGGAGCCCCAAGCCCTGAGGCGAGGCGGGGCGGGCGAGGAGCGGCAGCGCCGGCGGGGCCGGGAGGGGGCGAGGCGAGAGGCACCCCCCGGTCGCCTCCTCGCAGGGATCCCGTGAGGGGACGCGGGACCCCCGGGGAGAGGCCGCAGGTTTTCGAAAGAGCCGGTTTCCCGGGACAAGGTGGGGCCAGTCCTCGGGGACCGGGACGCGGCGGGGCGCTGGGACGACGAAGAGCTGCCCCGTCCGCCCGACCCCCGCGCTCAGCGCCGCCGCCGCGGGGCTGTGTCTGTCCCGCCCATTGCAGGCCCGGCCCTGCTGGCGCTCGCCGGCCGGGCGCGAGGCGGAGCTGAGGAGCGCGACGCGTTGCTCGACGGTGCCGGGCACGTGCGGAGGAGGCGGCTGCGAGGACCGATGGATCCCGAGGGCGCGGTGAGGAGCCCGGCGGGGCTGGGGAGCCGCCGGGGCGGGCGGGGAGCGGCGGCGGGAGTGGGAACGGGAGCGCGGCCGTCCCGCCGGGGTGCCCCGGCTCGCGCCCGCCCGCGCGGCGCCGCCGCCGCCATTTTGTCTGCGGCTGCCTCAGAGTGTGGAGAACCCACCGCCGGGCCCGGCTGTGCGGGGTAATCGTACCTGGGCCGCGGGGGTCCGGCTCCCGGCCTTGCAGCGCGCCGGCTGTGGAAAATAGAGCTGTCTGGGGAGTTAGGTGCGGTGAATCACCGGGCCTTCGTAGGGTTCGGTTGGCGGACCGTGGGGTGTATTCGCTGTAAAAATGCAAATAGCGGTTGTGCTGAAGAGCGGTTGTCAAGCGCACTAAATAAAACGTAAAAACATTGTTGAATGTACACATCCGTATTATTTGGGAAAAATGATGGAAGTTTATAAACCAGTGAAAACAAATGTTTGGGCAAGTGATGCTAGTACATATTTAACTTTTTTTAATACAATTTTTTATTGTCACACTAGCAACAAAGAGATGGTTGTCAGAATACAGATTTTAACTTTAAAAACTCGTGGGAATTTACTGTATTGGGAGTTCACAAGCGGGGTGGTTAATTTCTTGTTTCTTCTGTTAGGATTTTTTGTGTTTGTTTTGTTGGGGTTTTTTTAATAAGAGAGTTCTTAAAACTTGTATGGAGAAAATGCCGTCTGAGCTCCTTGAGGTAAGGAATACATTTTTGACTGTGATGTCGACTGTTAATTGTTGTCGTTAAATCCAAAAGCTTCCGTGCTGAACACAGTTGACAGATAATTATACAGTTAGAGTATTGTCTTTGGTGTGAGAGATGGAGAAAGTAACCTGTCTTGTCCTTCAGGAGTTTTTCCTCTGCAAAAAACAGTCCTCTTCCTAAAGCCTTTGAGACTGTAGCAACTATGTTTGTTCCTTGCCCACTAATGTTGGCTGTTGTTCAGGTTGGGCCCTAGTCTAGGTTAGTATTCCCAGGGGGAGAAATGCACACTGGATTCTTCAGAATAGATCAGGTTAACGACTTCGGGTTTTCCTCTGCCGCAGATGGGTGTTCTAGTAAATTCGGAAATGACTTTTGTCTTCCCTAAATTGTGTGACTTAAGCTGGATTTATTGTCGTTAAGGTATCCAAAACAATAGCATTAACGCATTACTCAGAATTCTCAGGTAGCTAAGGAAATAGCAAATAATCTTAGAAGGGCTTGCGGAGTGAAGGAAAAGACAGCTTTTTTTCCTGACGTTCTTTTAATTACTGATCTTCCATTTCATGCTACACTGCAACTGTCAGCCTTTACTTTTTGTGTGTTCTAAAAAGAAGTGATTTGGCTTTGTCCAGGAATGCTTAGAGGCACAGCCAAGAAGATGATGTCTTGTCAATGGGGGAAAGGCAAAATGTGGAAGTAAAACAGTGTATATGAAAGGGGAGGATCCTATGAAGAGAACTGTTTAAGAGCAGAACTTCATTTTCTGCTCTGGTTTCAGAGAGGCTAAAATGCACAGATACTACAAGAAGCAAAAGAGCTCTATACTTGCTGCAGTAGCTTTCTGTGTTTGAAATATACTTGCATGTGTTGTGTTGGACCTCGCTACAAGTTTTAAGGGTTGAGCAATAGTAAGAAAAAAAAAAACATTTATCTCAGAAATCCTTTCAGAAGACAGATTGGAGGCTGAGACCTCTAGATTCCTACTTTTAGTTTTCACTGCTCTGCTTGTTATTAGCCTTGGTATCTGCAGCCTGCAGCAGCTGCCTGTATTTCATTTTGGGCTCCTTCCCTAGTGGTACTGTCAGGGCACTAGAGTCCAGGACTGGTTTTAGTAAGTTTTTTGGGGGGGAGAGGAGGGACAGACTACCACAGCAATAATGATCTTGAAGCCTTTATTGTAATTTCTGTTGAAGAAGTTAGTGACAATACTGTGTGACTGCTTTACAGCTATGACCTCACAGTTAGGGTTGACTTTGTAAGGCAGTATGCATTTGTTTTGGAAAGAGTTTCCAATAGAATTAGTTTGTAGGGGTAAGTATGGTGGAAATTAAAACATGAGGAAGTTGGTAGGCCAAGAGAGTGTTGAATTAGAAGGCTATAGTCTTCAAGAACTATTCTCATCAGTTGTACAGAACTTGTTGATTTCATGTGGTGAAATTATGGGTGCTTGGTGCTTGGAAAATCAACCAGAAGCTGTTGCAAAGAGCAGGGTCTTGCAGATGTGTGTGAGAGCACAAATTGTTAACCATATCTATTCTATACAGGTTTAAAATAAGGACTTCTAAGAGGTATAAAATAATTTCTGAAATAGAATGCATTACTTGAGATTTATACATCAGGGTGCTGTGCAGATTGAACCAAGGCTGGTGGATTAGGTTCTAAATGTCTAATTTGGAAAAGTGTTAAACACTGAACTTCAGACTACAGTCACTAAGTTACTGAATTGCTTAAAATTAAGCTTATGTTTAAACACTGAGCTGCACTCTGAATAAAAATGTGGTTTGTGTTCAGTTCAGCATTTACTGTGCTTCTGAAAAAATTCTGTATGGTCTGTAGAGAATTTCCATTTCCTGCCAAATAACTTGTAAGATTTTGAAAGTGTTTTCTTTCACCCAGCAGGTGACAGATCAGATGCAAACAGAATCTTTACCTCCATGTCCCAACACGGTGTCACCGGTGCGGTTAAATAATCTGATCAGTTCTCCAAGGTTCGGAACAGTTACTCCAAATCGTGTCTTTGTGGGAGGAATTGATTTTAAGGTATTTTTTTCCTATTTTAGCTGCTAAATGATAATGTATAACCCTATAAAAATCAACAGGAAAGAGAGAGACAGTCATGTCCTTGCTTAGGTGGTAAGTGTCCTTCAATGTAGTATCCAAATCAATAGTAGAGAATAAAGCTTTAAGCCTTGATTTACATACCTGTCCTACAAAGCTGGCTTGGTACACTGAGCTGCTAGAAGCTTTTGACAAACCAGATCTTCAGAATTTTCTCTTTTCAAAGAAGATGGCTTTTGTCATCAGTAAAGCTTGTGGTAGAAAAGTATGTAGAATTTTTTTATTATATTACCTAGTGTAATTTAATAAACTGTCACAATGTTACATACGGCAAACAAGGCAGATGTCAGTAGCTTTATTTCCTCCAGCACTTCTCTTCTGGTTCATACAAAGAACCTACAGTGCAACTATTTCTCACTTGCCACAGCAATCTTCTCAAAGACAAGTGTTTGGTTTTAAAACATATGAAAGCTTGTCCGGGTAATTTGCAGTACTAATCTTAATCCTTAGAATGCTTGTGCCTTTGTGTACTCCCGAAAACCCTGAGGTAGCAGTGAATATTGAGCTACTCTTACACTGGTTAGTTGCTTTCAACATTTCTGACAAGGTACTTGGCAGATCTTTATACCAGCTACTCCAGTCTTTTTCCTTCTTCCTACTTCAGGTAATTAAGCCACTGACTTTTGCAAGACATGCTTGGTCTGCTTAGCTGATGTTTTGTTCCTGCCAAGAGTATAGTCTCTTCCTTAATCCTCCTAGGCTGAGGATTTTTGAGTGGTGACTCATTTGAAGAGGAATAAGAGTTTACAATTCAGACTATTTTGCATAACAAGTGCAAGAAACTCCAGCATCTTCTAGCTCATTTGGCTGAGATAATTCAAATAGACATGTTTGTAATTTGAGATGTTGTACAAGGCCTTCAGGATATTTGAGCTTTATCAAAGAGGCACAGTAGCTTTTTGTACTAATAGTAAGCAAATGGCTAGAGGTATAAAAAGGCCTCACTGTTCTGTCTGCACTGCAATTTCAGAGGTTAAAGCACTTTTCTGCCTAACGTACCAATATTTTTGGTAGTTATCCTCCTTATTGTTCATTTTGAGGGGTTTCTTGACTTCTTGGTTCAGTTGCTGATACTTCAAAATTTATTATTAATCTTATTTTTAACACCAGAGTTTAAGCATGCTTGTAAGCAAAAAGAAGATGGAATTTTGCTGGGGGGATGAAACCTCTATAAACATTTTAGCTACTCTTCCATTTGCTATGGCTCTTTATATCAAACAGTCTTAGATTTCTTATCAAACCATATGATTTTTCTGTCAGTCTTGTTTTCTGTTGGGAATCTCGTGGCAAAAAGGATTGGGTTTCGTTGGGTTTTCTTACCCCAAAAGTCTTACTCAAGACTTATATATCCCCAAGGTCAGTTGGGGATATATAAAAGCTATTTATTTTATTTTTGTGAAAAAGGGAGACACTAAACAAAAACTTATTTGCTTTCCAGCAAGCTCTTTCATGATTTTGCCAGGCACCACCATTTGGTCTATCACTGTAGCAGTGATTCCTGTTTGTAAGAGGAAACATCTGGCTTCATAAATTGAGAGAAACAGTTCAGTAAGAGAAGCTGGAGTTGGGAACATTTTCATCTTGGTATGAAGAGCACTTTATTTAGTGGGCATGGTCCACACGTCTTAGGCTAGTGCTAAGTCTTTGCCTGTGTCATTCTCAAGAATGTGACAAATGCCTTTGTCTTAAAAACAGGAAAAGGCAAGTCCTAAGGTGTTTCTGGTAAGCTTCTCAATATCATGTTTGTACACATAATTGCAGATTTCACTGTGTATCTTAGAACGGTGTTTTCTTATTCCCCTTCAGTCACTGCTCTGCATGTAAACCTTGGTCTTTCCAAGTTTATAGTCTCGTGTAGCAATCCCTCATGTCTGTGGATGACACTTGGAGCACTGATCAGTTTTAGTCTTGGATGAGGCAGATAAACCTTTGATGTGCTGGAAAGGATCTAATAAATTGCATACATACAATTTAAAACAATGGAAGTAATTCACTTATACCAGAAGTGATGCTTTACTTCTACTTTAAGGAAAAGTGTAAATGAATGATGCATGCATACAACTGTACTTCTTCCAGTGTTAGATATGCTATTAAGTAAGGACTGTGTAAAAATGAAAATCTCAAATGTGGTGTTTAGGGCACCATGTGTGATACATATTTACAAGATGAGAAGATTGATGGAAGGTAGGTGAGTGATGATGTAGTTTAGGTGTGCCTGTACTTTGGAAACTTGTCTTGCTCCATATGTATTCAGAAGGGAGCAGTTTCTTCCAAGTTTTAGACCATTTGCCATTGAAACAACTTTTTTTTTTATTTAACTTATAGTGGTTAGTTTCTTTGATGTGCCTGTACATATTTGCAGTCTCAAGTTAAAACTACTTCAGAAAGAGGGATCATGGTGTATTCAGTGGATTTGACCACTAAATCACTGTGGGAATTTTTTTAATAAATGTGGCCTATGTATATCCTTTTGGAAATCTATGTACTCTGCTGTTTTGAAGTTTGAAAATATGGTAGTGATTTTTAATACTGTAAACTGCTCTAGAATGTCATTCACAGAAACTAAAATTCAGATCTGGTAAACCTGCTTCAGTGGTCTTAGCTGTGAAAGGGCACTTGTTACATAAATCTACTGAAGAGGAGTTTTAATTACTTTCTAGTGTTATTGATGAATAATAAATGCAGTAATTAAATGGCCTGTGAGGCTCATACTTGTTCACTCTTCTCTCTTCCTATCCAGGGTTATAATTAGTTTATAGCAAACTTGATTCAAAGTATGTCCTTTAAAAGTTCTATGGTAAATATTCATTGAATAACTATGCAAACCAACTCTTCCTTTTTTTTCCTCTCTTGAATTACTGTACTAGACGAATGAAAATGACCTGAAGACATTTTTTGCTCAGTATGGCAGTGTGAGAGAAGTGAAGATAATAAATGACAGAGCTGGAGTATCAAAGGGGTTGGTATAGTAGAATAAGCTTTTTGTGGAATTGAAAAATATAACAGAAATCTGACTGACTCTAGGAAATTTGGTTGATTTTCATAGCTCAGAATATTAATTTTTTCACTGATCTTACCAGCTAATCTATCTTTGTGAAAATCTGTTCTTGCCCTTTAATATTTCCATATAAATGTCTCGAATTCGCATAACTCAAACTATAGTCATATTTGTAGAAGATGAAGCTGTGTGCAACTAGGACAAAATCAATAGTTTTCATTTTTCTAGGTTTTTTTTTTAATAACAATTATTTAAGTAGGTAATCTTTAAAAGATTTAGTTATTAAATATATTTATTACTGAAAGGCAGTTTGGAAAGAAGCCTAAAAATGAAGCAAGAGGTGAGGTACACCTGATTATGCTGGAGTGCATGGCAGTAACTGAGGTTTATTGTGAAGACTTTGGGAACATAGGGGACAAATCTGACAGTGACTCATGATTACAGAAAAGGGGGACTAAGAGTGGAAGTCAAAAGTAAGAGAAATGCCAAAGAGCAAATCTGAAGAAGGATTAAGGTTGCTTAGTAAGACTACTGCTAGAACCCAAAGGATGCTGATGCAAATAAGGTGGGGAAGTGCTCTGCCATAGAAGGGTGGGAAGGGGGCTGAAACAAAAGGGAATGTGTGTGAGAACTGGTACCTGTGAAGTTCTCTTCTGAGCCTCTCAATGCTGTCAGAGCTTAACAGGTATCAGCAGGTTACACACTGAGCTGCAGATCTTAGCTCAGAGTGAGCTAGTGAGCACTTCCACAACGTGATGGGCTTGGTCCTTGTCACTAAGCCTCTTGGTCTTTTATGCAATTCCAGGAAATATGAGACTTGCAGTATGTGTGTCCATATAACCCATAATAATTATGCAGTTTTGATTGCCAGCATATGTCTCACAGTGAATATGTTGGAAAATAATTACTTCATGTGGTGCAGGGATTTCTTTTGAAATGCAAACATAGGCTTCATTGCTTCTCCTTGAAAAGTGATTTTAAAAACTTGAGTGTATGTGATTATGTCTTATTAGTTGATTGTCCAGGCAGTCCATAGAATGATAAATCTGTGTAGATAAGGTCCCAAGTAGGAAAATAGTTTGTGTTCTTTGAACATGGAAATGTCCTGGTTTGTTTAGAGAGGGCAATACAAGAAAAGCCTGCAAATTTAAAAGTATGGCTAGTCAGACTTACTGAACCTCCGTACTAAAAAGAAGCATGAAAATGCTCACAGAAAAGAACTTGTATTGCAAAATCTGATCTGCTGGCAGGAAAGACAGAGGCCACCTTGATATCATCTGTAATCTGACTGTGAGAGATGAACCATGACCCTAAAAAATTATGTGTACAAAAATACTGGAAGTTTTCAAAAATTTTGAAATTCAGATTAAGGGGTGTGGGGGGAGCATTTTTGTTTTTTACCTATGTATTATATATGATCAGATACTTACTTTGCACAGGCAATGTCACATTCAGTGGCCTAGATTACCCTGGGAATGAATTGAGGGGGTTGGGAAAAGCAAGTGTTGTGTGTAGAAAGCCTGTTTGATTGCCTGCAGCAGCTAGAAGAGGTATGGTGAAAGGCTGTGTCACAAAGAATGAGAATTGCTTCATCTGTGATCACCACAGAACTCTTTGTAATGCCAATCATGTTAAGAATTACAAGAATAATTCCCAGATAAACATTACCTCTGCATTGCTGCTTTTTCTAAGAACTCAGTTTAAAACGGTGAATAGTGCATGTGGAAGTGTGGAGCATTCACAGTTGTTTCTGAAGTAGGTTGGAGCTGTACTATAAATTACAGTATAATAATAATTTAAGATGAAAAAAAAAATCCCAAGTTTCTCATCTTGGTCACCCACAGGAATTCAAAGCTTTAGATCAAAATGTTTGTTTAATAGCAATGAAGGAACTTAAGACATAGGCTGAGTAACAAGGATAGCTTTCTGTGTGGGCTGCTTATTCATGGTGATACATTACCACATGCTTAAATATAATGAGAAAGCTGTGAAGAATACAGTTGTTACTGCAATCTTTACTTCTCCTATTGTTTTTTTTTTACCTGTTAATTTGCCTTGTGATGTCACTTGTACTGTATATGGACAAGCAGTGTGCAGTGTTTGTAAATATGAACTTCAGAGGCTTAACATCTGTAATTTTTATTTAGGTATGGCTTCGTCACTTTTGAAACCCAGGAAGAGGCACAGAAGATTTTACAAGATGTAAGCAATAGTCCCCCTTGTGTTTTTCTTTTAAATAATTCATTTCACATTAGACACGAGTAGCTCTGGTTGTGTGATCCTCTGTTTGCCAAGTAACATTTGAAGATCTGGTAAGTTTGGTCTCATAGTTAATAAAATGGTTTAAAGAGGTCCAAGATAAGATTTATACTGAGGTCTTCTGGAACTAGGGAAGGAAAGTGCTAGTTCATAGTACTGTTCTTGACTTTGACATCCAGTCTTTATGTTCTTGATCTGTATGTGGTCTGCAGTAAGTATAGAGTTATAAAAACTTCATCCTTCAGAATTGCTTTCATTTGCTTTACTAGAAAATCCACTCTTGTCAAGATTTTTTTGCAGGGAGTTGGGAAGATAACTGCTATCTTTTATTTTGACATGTTTGTTTGTCAGACCTAATGTAATTGTTTTTAGTGACAATTAGGTTCACTTGAAGTCTTAAATAATGAAGCTTGTGTCATGTACCTTTTGCTTCTCCTCTAAGCTACATTACTGTGTTGACACTGCTTGTAGAGTCTCCCTTGATACATGCTTAGCTCTTCAGCTGTATGTGAGCTCCTCAGTTCATTTTGGCTCTTTAAATGTATGCTTCATGTTCTAGTTGCAGCTTGTTGGAAAGATCTGTCCCTCAGGTTTTACTCATTCATATGAAAATCCAGGTGGAGGGGGGAAAAAAGGCTCAGAGGAAATGGCATCTAAGACTTGCAAATTGCCTTCTCACAGTTTCTGAGGCTGGTTAAAATGTTGAAACTCCAAACCTCTGGAAACTTTTGTATTAAAATTCAAAATAAGAGCTGAGACATTTTCAAAGGAGTTTTCAGTGTGTTTTCAAGAAATAGTTATGTGGAGCCACAGACAGGAAATTTTTGAGTCAGCTGTTTTTCTTCCTCTCTTGTTTTTACTGCTTTATTTCTGTAAACTAAACAGTAATGGTACTGAGTACCATTGTGAAAATGGTTTAATATATTTGCCTCTGTAACTGAAAGGCTGCTCCATGTGAAGTCTTACTAATGCCTTACTTTGCCTGCTCTGTCCTTTAGTTGAAACATTCTGCAGTTCTGTCACCTCTTTCATCTTTACATATTTCTGCTATTTCACAGTCAACTTGTAGCATCTAGGTCTTTCTGCATCTTAAGCTGAGAGTTTCTAGACTTAACGTAGGAAATCAATGTTTTTCATTTTGTACTCTTGAATTTATTTTTATATGATATTCTGCTCATCCTTTGGACTGATTTGGGGGAGGGGTGTTGTATCCTACTTTTCTATTGTGAGTAATGTCTCCAGAAATTTCTCTTTCTATGTTGCAGTCTTCTAAATTACTAAATTGTGTTAGTATTGAGAACAGACCTTGAGGAGTTTCACCAGGTTACTCTTTCTGGTCATATCCTATTAATACTAGTGTTTCTTCTTTCTATCTTTCTGAAGTGATTTTTTTTTTTTAATTAATTACAGTTTCTCCTCCTAGTCTTCACGTTCTGTAGCATCATCTGTAATTTTGCATGCATTGCTGTGTTCTTGCTTTGGAGAAATCTATACAGATTAGATATTTCTCTCAACTGTGAAAGTTGTGCATAAAAAATATTTCTAACCTCTGGTAGATCACATCAGTGGAACACTGCTTTGGGAAGAATCATCTTCGTGTTGTTTGTGTTGGAATGCAGTTTGACTGAAATGTACATCTGTTTTCTAGGAGTTGCTCTGTGTTTTAATAAGCATAGGTATGTTGGCCATAATTAATATTAGTTTATGAAGTCCCAAATTGAAGAAAACAGTTTAGCCTCTTCCTTGCTTTAAATCTAAAAGGTGGGAAGTTCTGAGGCAGCTGTGAGTGAATATGGGCATGTTACATTCAGTCCTTATAATCTGGGCACTTTCATAGACTTTCTTGTTCCTGTCTCTTGTAAAATATTGCCATGATCACAAAAAGAATTTAGTCTTTATATTTCAAATTGTCCGTTTATGTACACATGTGCAGTAAATGCATGAGAGCTAAAATGGAAAATAATCTGCTGAAGAGTATAGGTGCCAGTTGCAAATCAAGAGGCTCCATGAAGAGTAAGTAATGCTTGAAATGACTAATGATTAATTTTGTGTATGTGCAGTCTAAAGTTAGGATGGAAAAGGAACTAGTGTAGCTTGTGTGGGGTTTTTTTGCAATGCATTTTAAATAAAAAGCAAGGGAGGATGAAACCTAGTAAGTGCCTTGTCTACTTGTGATTTTCATTTCTCAGATGCCTATATGTGTGCAGAAAATAATGTTTTTCTTTACTTCTAGGCTAAAAAACTCAATTATAAGGATAAGAAATTGAATATTGGTCCAGCAATACGAAAACAACAACTACGAAGTCCTAATGCTCGTATGTATCTTTACTTGTACATGTGCATTATGTGTCATTATGAATATAAGTTTTAAAGTGAGATGTATCTGGTCTGGCACAGCATTAATACTGTGCATGGAGTATGCTCAGAGCAGTTTGCAGTGGAAGTAAATGCATGCCAGTGGAAATGTCCAGTTAAATAGATTCATGGTCTTTTGGTTCTTTTATCTCTCTTAATATGTTGTTTGTTTACTTTATTGGAAAAGGTTACTTATCTAAGAACAGTGGCAATTCAGATTGCCTGGCAGAACCTTAAATCTAAACATCTGGACTGTCCTCACAGATTCTGCGGTATAAAGCAGGCTGTGCTGGTTAGTTGCACTGTTACTCATTGATTTATGTTGTCAAAATCCATCAGGACAGTTGCATCTTGCTTTCTGTGTTAGAACCATAAGGAATGGGTGGTTACAGTCACCAGCCTGTTCTTGAGTTGTTTGCTGTGGTACCTTTTGGAAGAGTTAGGAAAAAGCCCAACCTTTTGCTCATCTTCAGTCAGAGGACAATGCAAAAGAATGTTGGGTCAATTCTGATGCTTTCTTTAGTTTCCATCGTGTTACCTGTTAGAAGTAGTTCATGTGTGCACTAATGCTGTTGGTGCAGATGTACCTGCTGAAGACAGAAGTGTGCTGCTTCCTTCCTCCCCTTGTGCCTAGGTATGCCCTTTTCCCTTGTGTTAGTGTATGGGTTATTGTTTCCCCAGGGGAAAGCAAATCCTTTGTTCCAGCTGTATGGCTTCTTTGCTCTAGAAATTATTCAGTGTGATCTTTGCTCAGTCATCATCAAGAGGTGTTATGCCTTTGGTTTTTTCCCCTGTGTGTTTTTTCTCTTTCCGTCTTTGACTTGTACTTTCTCAGTTTGTTGCCTGACTTGTGGTGCTTCCTTTGTCTGACTCTTGTGCTGAATGTGTATGTTGATAGAAAAGAGACATCTCTATGTTTTAATTCTGAGACATGAGGGAACAGGGGTTAAAAAAAGAAATCTTGAAGAAATCTGCTGTGTCCTTTTGAGATCTGTGTTTGTGGACCTGTTCAACTACCTCTACCCTCTCATGCCTAGGATAGTTCTGTGATACAAGATCATATTGACATCCAGGATGTATCCTAGGGTTTGATTTCAGTGTGTCTGCTCTCATGCTCAACCTATCTAACCTTAGTTGCTAGGGTACTTTGTCCTACTGAAACTCATCTTGGGGTACATGAAGCCAGAACACCTAGACTTGCAATATCACTGTAGAGCTGCGGTTCTGTTATATTGGGCAGAATTCAAGGGCTGACCAATATATTGCTGTCCTCTACAGCCCACATATAATCTAGTGCCTGTCTTCCATACTATTAAGCAAAATGAGTTTTTAGCTCTTCTGTCATCCTAGGACATTTTGTGGTAAGTGCTTTGAACGTACTGGGAGGACCACTTGGTTTGCTTTTCCCCAACATCATGATGAGTTTTTCCATCACAGTGAGTTTGCTGGGATGGATGGAGATTTCCTTTTCCTTTGCCAGAGACTTGCTCAACATGGGCAGAAAGTTTGTGCAATGTACTCTGTAGTTAGTGAAGTGGACAGGATTGTTGGCAGTGGGATCCTGTTGATCTCATTTGAGATGTCAGTAACTGCTGTTCTAGATTGCTTGCTGGAGCTGGAACAGCCTTTGTTTTCAAAGGTATACTTAACATTATCCTAACAAACACCTTAGCCTGACCTGTCTGTGGATAACATTTCAGCTGTATTGTATCCAAGTGTCTTCAGGCTTTTTTGGGTATTAGGCAAACTCTTACTATCAATAAAAGCTCTTGAATCACTGTGGGCCTTCTTGGTCTTCCACTGAGCGTAGTGGTGACCTCTGCAGTGTTCTGTCTGTCTGTAAAATGGCACTTTGTGGTAACACACCTTTGCAAGGCGAGATGGAAAACTGAAAATTGTTTGGTAATTTTCTTTATGTTGTGTTCTTCCTGATTTTTTTTTTTCTGTGCCACGTTACGACTTTGTGATTTCAAGATTTCCATTTCAGTTACAGAATTAATTTTCTTTTTTTTCCCTACAGAAATCTCGTCATATTTGAAACTGAAATTTGTCTTCATGTTTGACACAGTTTTGGAAAAACAAAGTCCTGTCCTAGCCACCCCTAAAATGTAGAGAGGAATACAGTTTAGGTGATGTCAGAGACAGTGTTTGAAGGGGAGAGACAATCTGTGCTTAGGGTAGAGATCCCTTTATTTGAATAGCACCTGCTGTCAGCACCTGTCAGAGGGCAGTGTAGGTGGAACTCTGCTTTGAGATCAGACGGTGCGGACTTGTAGGCTCTGTCACAGTGACAGCATTGCTGAGAAATGTCCCTGTTGGTGATGTCTGTAAAATGAGGTTTTTATGTTTGACAGTCTTTGCTGAGAAACCAGACAGCACCTTGTAATAAAATAGTTGTTGGTTTAAGTGCTTGAATTCTGTTTCAGCTAAATATGAGGATGTGGAGGTTACCTATCAAAATCTCCTATAGTGTCAAATTACTTTTGGACATTTGGAGATGAAAAATATATGTATTTGTAGGTACCTGGGTTACCTGTGTTTGTTAATTTATATGCCTGTCATCTTTTGCAGCTCTTCCCATCTACCTCTGGAGACATCCTGTGACCATCTGCCTTCATGGTTTTGTGTTTGAGAGGGAATTGAGATGGCACTAGGCACACTGCTCCATGTTCTTTCCTTGGAGTATTTTCTTTCTCTGAAGATCAGAAATGATCTTCCCTTATTTTTTTCATGGTATACACATCTAAAAAATAAATTAAGTTATTTGTAAGTAAGCTTTAAAATACCTATTCCAGGTTCTGCTGTAACACCACAAGCTGGTACAATGTACACAACTACTGCTGTATCACCAGAAGCTGGTACAATGTACTTGACTACTTCGAGTGGATATCCATATGTTTACCATAATGGAGTGGCTTATTTTCATACATCTGAAGTTTCTCCTGTTCAGCAGCCATGGCCAGTAAGTAATTAATTTTGGTGTATTTGCTTTTTCTGTGGACCAGGATGTGTGCAGTTGTAAGTCCCTCATACTTTGTTTCTTCAGCTGTGGCTCGTGTTAGATGTTTAAATGGCTTCCTTATGTTAGACTGTTTATTTTGTACTTTTTATATCACTTCGGTTTATTTTGCTTCTGCAGCAGACTCTTGCTTTGGTCTGACCTGTTGGACAGGATAGTCTGTATCAGTCTGGGCCTTACCCCAGGAGAAGTTCTGTTTTACTATCTCTAGACAGTGATGGGTTGGTGCTTTCTGGAAAGAACTCAGTGAATGTGCCAGGGATTTTTATTTCATCTAACACAGGCTCTTAGAAACAGTGATTTTGAGTAATCTTAAGTTTAAGTTACCTTGGTAAATGCATTTTCAAAAGGGAGGGGAGGTGGTTCAGCATTATAGTGCTCTGGAGCTGTGCTTAATAGGAGTGACAATTTATGAAATTGCTGCATTAAGACTTTTAACTTTTTATTTTTGAAGTCGCGCTCAGTTTCCAGTTCCCCTGTGATGGTGGCGCCTCCAGTTTATCAGTCTCCTACATATCATTATCAGGTATCTGGTTAAGAATGGCTTTCAGACAAACACTGTTCCTCCAGCCCTGCAGTACTGTTTGCAGCACTGTCACAGCTGTTTGTTATTAGGAAGTAAAAAGTGATAGCAAACACATTTTAATTTCATTGGCTGCTTTCTTTAACCAACAGTTTATCCTCCTTATGTGATGCCATGATAATATATTAGTTTTCTTTTGTGTTGCAAGACAACTGGCTTAGTACCAACCTCTTATCATCTAAGCCAAACTCCTGCTGGAACAGGACTGGTTAGATCAGTTTTCTTGGGTACTTTTCCAGTTGGATTTTAAATAGCTCTGGTGATGGAGATTCCATGACCTTTCTGGATAGCCTCTTGCAATAATTGACCCCTCTCTCATAGTAAAAAAAGACTTTTTTCCTTATAACTACAGCATTTTCAGTGTTCCCACTAGGGTCCATTGATTCTTGTGGTCTGAACGCGTCTGCTGAGAATCTGATTTAAGTATTTTTGAAGCTTATGAAATGGCCAAGTCAGAGGCTGAGTGAATAAAAATATTCCTGAATATTTTCATGAATAAAAATTTATTAATACAATGTTTTTATGAATAAAAATGTTCCTGAACTTTTTGGAACTTGAATGAAAATTTTTCTCTTCTTTTTAGTTTATTAGAAATAATTATAGATTTGAGATGATTGTGGTTTAGTATGTTAGGAATTCTGGCATTCAATGTGTATGCATATGTTCTTAATCACATTTGGTAACATCTTTTTGTTTGATTTTAGGCACCAACACAATGTTTTTCGAGTCAGTGGCAATGGTCTGTTCTACAGGTAAATACAGTTCATGGTTGCAGCATTTTAGTACTAATTTCACCTTGTTCAAAGGTATGTTGCACTTATCTAACTGTGACACTTCCCACTATTCACAGCTTAGTTGAAATGAGTATTAATTGCTGTGTTTTAGCAGTGCATTTACAAGATTTGCTGATACAGCAGAAGGCATAAAATAGCATCTATTGCAACATCAAATACAAATCTGAAAGCATCTTTACCCTTGCCTCTCACTTTGGCAAAAAGTTTGTAATAAATTAGCTAATAATTTGTCAGAAGCAGGTGAAAACTGTCAAATTCTGCTGAGAAATGAGTATTAAGTAGCTAATGAACTGATACTGTGATGTTTCAAAGAAGTACTGTTAGCAGAAGCATGTAGATGCAGAAGTAGGGTGAAGTTAGACCCAGACCCTTGAAATAGGAGGGAGAACTTGGAATTGGTGACTAGGTCATTTTGGGGGGAGAGTGTATTGGTTTTGTGATCTCTGTAGCAGAGCAGCTTCAAATGGGAATCTTGACACTCCTCGAGGAACTTGAAGAGTTTGAAGCTGAAGGGACTGAGTCCTTTAAGATTGAACTCATTACAGTGTGGCCTCATTACTTTAGTAGCAGCCAGCCTTGTCCAGTTCTGGACAGGTTCCACTCTAATAGATCAGTCTGCTGCTTTGAAATTGGAGTGCTGAGTTACAGAAAATACTGGGGGGGGTATTTTAAAACAAAAATGCTTGTTTTGCTACTCCAACATTTTTGCAAGGGAAGATTTTAACTGTAGTATGTTGTAATCTTGAGACTAAGTGTCAATTTTACAAGTTTTATGATTTGTCTAACAATGCTCTCCAAAATGCAAATAAAATCTGAAAACTATGAAAAAATTACTAAAGAATGTTTTGGGTTTTTTTTTCTTCCTCTTACCTGACCTTCCTACCCACTTCCCCCTCACTTTTTCTTTTGTTATCAAAGATGAATTTGACACTTTCTTCTAAGGCTGTGTCTCCATTTATATGTAGCAAAGAAGACTGTAAAATAAATTTTGGTCTTTATTTGGTGTCTTATTATTTGGTGCCTAAATAATGTAATTTATTAAAATAATGTGCTTTATTTCAGTCTCCTACCTCTTCACCTCCACTCTTATATCTGCAACCATCTGAAGTCTTTTATCAGCCAATAGGAATTACCCAGGAAGGTGGATGTATATCTCCACCTCTGCTAATGGAAGCTGCAGTTCCTGAGGTATTTTTAAAAAGTAAAAAAAAAGTACTGACAATCGAAGTGTTTGTCTGCAACTGAAAAACATAATGTTTTAATTTAAGCACTGGCTGTTCAGAGCACTTAGGTCAATTGTTCCTGTACCCATGCTGCTGTTAAATAATTTCAGGTGTCCTCAAGTTAGAGTTTCTCTTCCATTTTTCTCAGAGGATGCTTTGATTCTGAAATATTTTTGAGGCTCAGAAGTGTATTACAGACAGCAGTATAAGGGCTAGTCAGTTTGATTCATTTGTAAGTAATGTTTAAGTCAAATGGGAATCAGATTCTTTGGAATTCTTTGGGTTAATTTACCCAAACCATAGTAGTTTTCTGAAGTGATTCTTCTGTGCAGGTAGAAGCTTGTGTCTAAATATTGCAATGATCCAAATGAATTATGAGTGGTTGAATGATTGAATTGTTTACAATTTTTTTTGCTTCTATATCAGTAGCATTTATAATACTAGTCAAGAGATTCCTGATGTACAATAAGGCAATCTCTTCATAGTTGGATATTAGAAATGACAGTAAAAGGCTACAGAAAAATTTAATCTTACATTTTTTATTCTATATTAATTGGTACTTCTCTTAAATATTCATTCCTTATGAATAGGGATTCCAAAACAGATGTTAAATTAGGACAAGAATCAAATATTGTTTCAAAAGTTAATGTGTATTTTGTTGCCAAGAGGAGTTCCAAAATGGGTGTTTCAGATATCTTAAGTGGAAAATTCTGGCATACCAAAGTAATTTAATTTCCCTACAAAGACACAGAATTAATACAAGACATGGATTGTTGGGGTTTTGTTTTTGAAAGTGCATAAATCTTGGTATTTATTCTATAATTATAATATTATTAACAGTACTGCTATTTTACCTTTAGTATTTCATGAATCAGATATAAACTTGTACAGAGAAATTTGAAATATGTGAGCACTAAGAAAATAAAATTAGTTAAGGAATACTTGGGTATAATGGGCTCTTGGTTTACAGGTAGGCAATTTGTTCATGTTAAAGGGAGCAACGTGTGGAATTTCAGAATGGTTTAAAATTCCAAGAGTAATCTGTATTATTTGTATGTAAATATCTTGTAAGTCTGATAATGCTGGGGATTACACTTCAGTGTGTGAATTGACACATTTAAACACTGTTCCAGTTAGAGCTGAGTGAAATGGATGTGTAGTAGAGAAGCTGCTACTTCTGTCAAGGAAAGTGATTTGTGACGCTGATCAGGATAAATGAAGTTTACCAAACTTTGGTACAGTGGGGAAAACATAGACCTAAATATTTAAATTGTGGGTTTTAAAAAGTCAGTAGTTCAGATAAACATGGCCCAAAATTTGACATTTCTAAGGATTCTAAATTCATGTGAAAGGCTTGCAAAAAAGTAAGTTTATGAAACAGGTTTTTCTGCTATTTTTTTTATTTTCTATAGCAGCTGTATTCTGACCATGGAGTTCAAACACTACATCACCAGCCTTATGCCCAGAGTCACATAGCCATGCCTGCAGCTGTGAGTATCAAACCAAGAGAGTTAAAGCAAGCATTTTGCAGTGTTACTGTCCCCTTTCTTGAAGGGGGGACAGTAAGAGAAGAGGGATGTGGATGAAAATGTCTTTTATTAATGATAAGGAAAATTGGAAGCATTGCAGAGAAACTGAGATTTTTTTCTTCACCTGAAGCTTTGTTACAGAGGACATACAAGTTACTTACTTTGGAACTATTTGAGGAAACTAAAAAATAAGAGCATGGCTAGTTATTTTAAGATTGAGATACAAAGAAAATACAAATGAAAAACATATTTTGAGAGAAAATGGTGAACCTCATTCAGTTCTTTGAAATATTGGTTACAAATCTTTGTTTCTTGTCTCTGGGTCTCGACATTGAATTCCTTTCTTTCAGCCTTGTATTGAACCTCATGTTAAGGAGAGGTGGGAATTTGAAACCTGGAACATGAAAAACTGTCCCAGGTGGTCACCTCTAGGTGTCTTTCTGTGCAGTTCTGATTTAGAAAGGCCATTTTAAAATATGATTATTCCATGTCACCTGACGCAGGTTGTTGGATGTTTTTGGCTCCCAGTTTAAGGTCCTTTTATCTAAATTAATAAGGCTGTTCACTCTAAAATAATATCAAAACTGATTTGCCTGATAACAAAGATCTAAAGTTATCAGTAGTTGATATTACAGCACTTACTCTTCTGTGAAAGATGCTTACTCAGCTGCAAGTGGCAGACTAAATAGGAGTGGAATAAACGCCATGTTATAGGCTAACTTTTTAATGTATTTTTAATTTATTTTACTTTTTCAGGAAGAATTTTTTTCAGACTCTTGTGTAGCAATATGTACTAAATATTTCCAGCAGAGGGGGCTGTAACATAAGTGTTGTCTTGGAATAAACTGCACTATATTTCCTGCTCATTTTTCCTGGTTTTCTCAGGAATCTTGTTATCTAGAATTGAAACTCTGTTCAGGTCTCAAGTAGATTCACAGATACAGTTAACCCTTTCAAAGACGTACTGAATTCTTTTTTTATTATTATTCATTACAGGATGATGCCAAATAATAGTTAGTAGTTCTAAAATACAGTTCTTCCTTTGAAAGTTTCAAGTTATCTTTTCACATTCCCACTTGGAGTTTGAATATGTCACGTGTAATGAATGAGATCAGCTTGTATTGTCTGTCAGTGTGGCTGAGCTCTCAGCAAATGATGGAAAAAAGCAAATGCTGTCAGCAGACTGCTCTCTATGAAGCAGGTGGCTGTGTCACTACTCCCCAGCTGTATAAGAACGCTGCCTGGTAACTTAATCTTCTTAAAATACTCCAACAAATGTATCTGCTGCTTGAAAACTGCCAAATAGCGGCCACAGAGGAGAAAGCAGGAGCCTAAAGGAGTGACTTCACCTTGAAGGTAATCTGCTGATTGCCTCTGCTGCATTAGGAATTGCACTGGGAATAAATATGCACTTAATACTAGGTGAGTCATGTGGTGAGCGTAGGATGGGTACAGCCAATATCCAGGTATCTTTGGCAATTGTAGACTTCTTACAGCTTTCAAATGCAGCTCAAAACAGAGCATGCATTGCAGTCATAATTAGAAGAAATCACAAGAGTGAGCAAGCAAAATGGATGAAATACCAATTGAAGAAAGTCACAAATTTTGAAGTCAGTGTTTCCAGTGCTGTACAAGTGTATAAGAAGAACTCAGTCCATTTGTTGTGTAAACCATGTAGCAGTTAACAAAGGAAGCCTCAGTTCTGGCAATTCGTAGTTTTTTATTCTCTGTTTTACCCCTTGAGTTACATCCAAAAAAATGCTATTTTTTAATAAAAATTTTTTAGTAGTGCTAAAGGAAATTTAGAAAAAAATCTTAGATTCAAATTCTGTATTTAAGATCAATTTTGAATCAAAAATACTACTCTTCTCCCTGTGATCAGGTGTTTGCCAGTGACCATTTGTGTTTTACTTAAGCTGATGTCTTTTGGCAATTTATAGCATGTTTTGTTCATGAGCATGTGGAAAGGACTTCATATATTCACATCTACACAAATGGATAAAGTTAACATTCATTCTCAAAGGCTGCCAGGTGACACTTTTTTTTAAGGAAGTGTGAGGTGTTTTCATCTCTGTATGGATGTTTCAGATTCTATATCACCCTCCAATATGGAGATTAATGTTTGGATGCTCCTAGAGGGATATGTATGAGATGATGTGGTCTACAGTGATAGGGGAAACTTGAGGGGAGAATTGAAATTTGTTGAGTTTTTTATTTCAGAACTGGAAGAAATACTTGTGAGTTAAATTTTGTTTTTTTCTGGGTGATTATCTTGTTATGAGGCACTGGCCTGGTAAAGGTGTATGAGGGAGACCCTGAAGACTGAGGGGCTGAGCAACACAGTTGCAGTCTGCAAATAGTGAGCAGAGTATAAAAGGTTCTGCCCTGTGGAGGTGGGCAGGTGGGTGGGGTTTATTTTGTTTCATGCTTTTGGCTTTTTTCTTATTATTCATCCCTTTGAGCTGCAGTGTACCTGTTGGGGGGTAGGCATGGTTCTAGTCTGTCAGAGTTGCTGCTGTTCCCATAGTCTGTATCCAACAGAATGTCTTGGCTGACATCAGCAGTGCCAGATCACAGTGTCGTTTGTGTATATTTGAATTCAGATCTTAATGGTGAATGATGGCCTGTGGCACCATGGCCTTCTGGTAGTGAGCCTTCTGTAACTTTAACTGAACTTAGTGCACTCTGGTTTTCTCTGCAGTTAAGAGTAATAAGGTAAGACTTGTGTTCTCTGTGTGTAATACACAGAAATATGTGTGTTTATAAATGTTTGTGTATATACACATGCAAGTAGATAAACATGTTTTTTCTAAGAGTTTTGATGTAACCACTTGGGGGAAAAGTTCAGTAATTTTATACTAGTACTGCATGCTATTGTCTGATATTCCATCTGAAACAACAAATAGTACAACATATTTTCTCTATAGGTAAGTATTTTTTTCATTTATACATGCAGTGAAACAGAACAAACCTCTTGTTTAAAGTTATGTTAGTCTAAGTAATGTGAATATAAACTTCCAGTTGTCATCATTTGGTTGCCAAAAGGCTTGTCACTGGCTGTAGCAAGGTCTGTTGCCTGTAAAACAGGCAAACTCCACCAAAACTGTATTTGCTAATTTGATATGAACATGGAAAAATGCAGGTGGCAAGCTTTTTCTCACACCATTTAATTCTGTGTTCTCTTTACAAACTCCCTTTTCTATTCTAATAGTTTGTTCTCACTTCAGTTTAGTGGGTTTGTTCTTTTGTTTTCTCTGATCTATATGTTCTCTCTCTTTACTTGACAACCTGTGGAGCATTCAGTGTTGAAGCATGTGGGCAGCTCTAGCCTATCTATATTGATTTATTATTTTTTTCTTGTCCAGTCCTTCCTGTGTGGCTGAGATCCATCATCAACATACCAGCTAGCAGCTGCGAGTTGTGGAAAACTTGGGGTCAGTTGTTTCATTGCAATGGTTGCTATTTATGAGTTGGTGCATAATAAAACATGCTCAGGTCTAGCATAGCCTGCAGCATTACTTAGCTGCTTCCTGAAGTTTGTCAGTTGCCTAATAATTTTCTTCATAAAACAAATCCTGTATAATCAGTGTAATTCATTCCTGGGGAATAGTGTAGATATAAATGCCATCATTTTATTTTTAGGTTAAGTGCCTAAGTTTTATGAGTTTAGATTGTTTTCCTTCAACAGAGAAGAAAATTTTCAATATTTCCAACATGATTTTTGGTTTCTGACAGCTGTTTTAATTCCTGTATTGACAGCTCAATTTCTTCCCCTTTTCTCCCTATTTTATGCTGTTTACAATAACTCATATTCATGGGGTTGTACTCTGGCAGGTGCTCAGTCATGCTTTTACTGTGAAAAAGCTGCCTCTCTTAGTTGTTTACACTTTTAAAAACATCAGGGTTTTAATAAAAGGAAGCTAGGGAGGAATGCATATTTTGCACATGTTAAAATTATTGTAATTTCTTATTTGATACTTTCAACAACCCACTAATTTGTAGCAGGGCCTTACTATTTGTTAAGGTCTGACTTGTCTGTGTAGGTGCCCATATGATTTATCTCCAGCTATGGCTTCTAAACAAATACTAGAAGTTTGCCAGTGCAAAACTGAACACAGTTTTCTCAGTAGAGAAAGAGAAAATGTGTTAGTGTTCCACATATACTAGTAAAGGAGCCAAACTAAAGAAAAAGAGAAGTACTTTGGGATTGAAGTTGTGTAAGGTTGATGTAATGAAAACTAAGGACCATGGGACCTTGAAGTTTTGGAAAGCAGTGCACAGCATGGTGCAGAGGCAGTAGATGATGGAAAGAAACTGCCATCTGGAGATCATAGTGGGCTCAATATCTGGATAGAGGTGTATGAGCTACAGCTGGTTGCATTAGGAAACTGTCAGAGCCAGAAAGGAGGGTAAAAAGTTACATTTAACAAAACAAAGAAGTTAGTGCTGAAAAGGCCTGAGCTAGTAAGAAGGTTAGAACACAAACAGTTTGAGGCTGTCATAGGGAGCAGTTAAATGGAGAGAGTAAAAGAGATGGGAGTTGCACACTGGGGCTATAGAGCAGCTGAGATAAAAAGGGAGACTGTAGGAAAACTTTATCTTGGGAAGAATAAACAGGAGAGTGCAAGTATTCTAAGAACTGTTTGTGCCAGAACCTAAACAGTAGCTATATTTTCTGCAGCTTGCTTTTTGTCAGTGGCATGCACTAACAAATTACTTAGGCACAGTCCATTGCCTGTTTGTCAGTTGCCTGTTCACAAATTAGGCAGCTTTCAGTTCTTTAGCTCAGGTTTTATAAATGTGTTAGCTACTAAAACCTTCCTGTAAGTATTATTATAAATACCTATAGTAATGCATTGCTCTCATCTATGTTAAAGAGAATGCTAATGTAAAAAAAAAAAAAAAATTGGTTAAATAGTTTTGTACTGTGACATTTTGTAAAAATTTTCCCCATCTAATTAGACAGAGGATACAATTGCTTTAATAACTTGACATACTTTAGTGAGACTGTATGATCAATGAACAAAGCTGGGTTATTTTTTTATAAAAGAATTCTGAACTCATTCTAAGATTCCATACTTGTAAATAAAGGAAGATATTTCCTGCCACTATGTACTTCATCAAGGTGCATAATGGAAATTTGTTTTCCCTTTTTGAACCAAGTTCATTTAGCTGATGCAATGCCACACTGGACTGTAACTTTTCATTGAAGCATTATTAATTTAGTAAATGGGACACACTTTGAAATAGAAACAACAAAGTATTTTTCCCTCTCTTTAGGAATTGAAGTCACGTTCTGTGAGAAGACATTTTTCACATCCTTCGTCTGTGAGTCTGAAACCTCAGTATGCATGAAGTCATCATTTTCATCCTAGCAAAGATCACAGAATGGAAGAGTGCATTCTTACACTGTTTTCTACAGATGCTGTAAAACACTTTTTTTAGCCATGTACTGTGCTAACATACCTATCACATGGAGGGAATGTTCTTCCTGACTGGTTACATTTGCCTGCAAGTGCCTCAGTTAATATACTCCTCTTTTTTGTCAAGTCACAGAATGAAATTTTGTGGTTTGGTCAGGTAAAAAGACATGAAATAACAACTTTACTCTGCACTTCCATTCTTAATATAAATCCTGTTACAGGACAAAATGGTGATTTCTGATACACAGCCTACTGTATAAACTCCAGTTACTAACACAGATGGAAAGCCAGCGTACTTCTACTAAAGGGAAAATTTCATCTTTAGTTTATGGGTTACATAAACTTTAAAGATGCACTAGTTACAAAGTAAAAGCCATTCTGCCACATCCTGACAGCATTTTTGCGCTGTGGATTCAAATCTGTTTATTTAAATCTGTGTGTATTTAATTTCAATTCCAAGACAGTTTGTCTAGCTTCAAGTTTTTTGCAATCAGTATTTTCTAGTTTTATAAGGTATTTTACTTATGTGTCATTTTAGTGCTTGGGTATAACTTTTTAAAATAAAATTTGGACTATTCACTTAATAACTATTTGTTCTCATCCTAACATTTTTCTTGAACGTAGTAAGCAATACACTTGGTTTTATGGTATGTTTTTGACTGTAGAAAAAGGCAATGCTGCTTGACTACTTGCATTACAAGACCGTTGAAAACTTCCCTCTTCCTTCTTTGACTTTTTCTGTTGTCTGTGTGAAAATTAGGAACTCCCTGGCAATATCACAAGTTGGGATGAAATACTATTTTTTCCTCAACTTCAGGGAGATAATTTTTTTGTTTCCCCTCTCACCTTTGTAGGATTCCTTCTATGTATTATAAAAACCAGATTCCTCAAAGGTTGAAAATACAGCTGCTGTAGTTAATAGGAGTGCAAGCTATGGCTTATTGCTTCTGTAGGACTGAGGTCTTTATGTATGTAAAATATCCTTGAGCTGTTTGGGTTTTTTAATCTGATTTGTAGTAATTTGGGGGTTTTCTTTTCAGGTAGCTTTGTTTTGTTGGTATTTTTTTCCCTTTAATCATTCAGGGATATTACCAAGTGAGCAAAGTAGTCAGTAAATAATCCATGTGTAATATGTAAATCTGTTTAAAGATGGTTCTAGTGATCAGTTGGAGTCTGTTCTGGTTTTAAACTGCTTTGAAATTGCTGTAAAAGAGAGTCCATGTACTGTGTCTTGGTCGTGAGTTTCCTCAAGTGACCTTCCACCTTCTGCTAGGTAGAAAAATATACATAAATATAATTTTAAGAGGTTCTGTTTTAAAAATCTCGTTACCGTAGCAGCAATGGGGGATTGTTTTACCAGTAAGTATCAAAAAAGGTATACAACTTGTTGGATACATGAAGAGCTCAGCCTATTTTTGAAGGGCATCATCATTGTCACACTTCTGCTCCTGTCTGTACCACTAAACACATCTGTCCAGTTCTGTTTAATTTTCAGATTTTAGACCTCATTTGTACAAATATGTCACAAAAATCTTGGCTCATCAAAACAATAATTCATTTCCATGGAAGAATTTTTCCATAGTAAGTATTTTTTTAATGATGCTCTCTCTAAAGGTGCCAAAGAAAGGTTATATGTTCTGTTGGAGCCTTATTTCTTGTCATGAAACGCACATTTGATCCAGGATTCAGAAGATTTAGTCCTTGTTTTTGGAATGCACAGTTTGTTTACCAAACAAGACTTCCTTGTTTTTAATAATGCTTTAGAGATAGAAGCAGTAAATTTTACAGTGACTAGTAACTTAAAAAAATAAGTGCCTAGAGGGAAGTCTCTTGAACTAATTGCTTGGAAGTGTACAAATACTGTGCAGTCACTTAAAAGTCATCAGATCGTGGCTCTATTCTAGATACTCACAAAATGTAGGGTTTTTTCCCTTAATTGGTACAGATGTTAGAGTGTTGATAATGAGTTGATCTCATGGCCTTTGCTTCAAAGATCACTTAAGAGTTTTTTTTACTTGAATGTGAACTTGATGGTTTGTAAGGATGTTCAGTGTCAGACGCATAACTGTTCCCTGCAGTGCTCTTCTGTGGGGTCTGTAACATCAGCCTGGAGGTGCTATTGGTTAGGATTGTATCTCCAGCTCTTAACAATGCTTCATTTTGACTTAAGACACCTAGAGGATACCAAGATGAAGATCAGTGTTGGCTTTTCTCTAGGAACTAGAGGTTGCTGTTGAAATACTGAGGGTTCTTCACTGATTTTGTAGCTTATCTTTGCTCTAAGTGCTTGCCAAGAGTGATGGCCTGACATCAGTCAGCAGTGACTGAACCTTTCAGGAGTTGAATCTTTCTGCAGACACAACTGAGATATAACTGCCTTACCACTTGTGGATCCCTCTAATGGAATGATAGATGCATTGAGAAAGAACTACATTTCCTCAGGTTGTTGTTATCTTGATGTTCTAGCATTCATGATTTTTGTTGTTGTTGTTTTACACTGTACAGTATTCTCCTGCCAGTTCAGTTAACTAAATTACAGAAGTAATTTAGTTAACTGCAGATGGTCAAGTCAGGATTTTGGGGGCTGGAGAAAGGGCCACATTCTCTTTGGCCTTCTGCAGTTTCCCAGTGATAGTTGTAAGGCTTCACACATGTGCCAGGAGGGAACGTACCAGATGAGGGCTGTGCCCTGGGGACATTCAGTAACAGCAAATCACCCTCTTCATGCAATGGCTGTCATATTCATGTATTAGCAGACTAAACTAATTTTCTGGCTTCTGCCCCTTAGAATTCAGAGACCTGGTTGCGATGTTCTGTTTTCTACTGAGCTGGCCAATACAGTATTTCTAGTAAACGCTCTCTATTTAATGCTAGGTTTTTATGACAGAAGGTTAGTTCTGACATTCTCCACTAGATAACACTGGATAAAACCCCTGTGGACAGGCAGAAAGGTACTGAAGTTCCATCTCCTGTATTTTTGTGTGTTTAGCTGATGCATTTTGCATTAAGTAGAACTCTAGTTCGCTGGCTTTTTTGTTTCCTGCTACTTCTAATCTTACACATCAGAAGTCCATTCATTCTCCCTGAAAAACTGTTTACGCTTTACATTTTAAATTGGCAATTCTTTGCATTCTGAAACTGATTTTTCCAACTAGCTAATACTAAGTCATTGAGTAAACTGCATTCCAATAGGAACTGAGCAGAAACTAGCAGAACACATGGCTCTCTTGAAGTGTTTTTCTCTGTTAACATAGTTTTAAAATATGGAGTTGTATGGCTGCAAAATAGCTTTTTTAGATTTGTGGCTTTTCAATGTTGAAGGTGTTACAGTAGTTTTCAATTCTTGTGGTATGGAAGCTTCTTATGTTTCCTGTTGAAATAGAAAATTCATAGCTTAAAGCAGTATTTTAAGTGTACAAAGTATAATGCAGTGTGTGCAGTCCTGTACACAAATCCATATATAGCTGTTATACAGAAAATCTAAATCTAGACCATGGAGTTTCATTCTAGAATACATGGTTTTAGTTGATGGTGAACATGTGGCTGTGTTGTTTGATACTGTATTGCAGATACAGAGGGTATACTTATTGAAGCCTTGATAAGTGAGTCTGTGGATGCACATAAATAAAAGCTTGGTAAACTTGCAGATCTCATTTTAGAGAACTGTTAGCAATTTTGGAAATTAAAACTCTTTCTATTGCAACTGCTTGTAATACAGCAATAAGTTTCTACAGTTTTGAATTTCTAGTAAAGTTCTGAGTTGGTAGCTAAAAGTTTAGTTCCAACTGGTCTGTATCTACTGTTTGGATTGTAACTTCTGTTTGTCGCATTGGTGGGTAGTTAAATATGGGTTTAGAAAAATATGAAAAATGGAATTGAACTTTGATCATTAAACTATATTTTAATGACTGCAAAAGCAAACTATTGTCATCTGTGTTCATTACTTTTAGAACATTAAGTTGAAGATGGTAGCATAAAAGCTGGCTTTTATGCTCAAGTTAACATGTTTATAGACCATGTTCCTGTCATACTTAGAAAACTATTCCTTAAAAAGAAAAAAAATTGGGGTGAAGAAAAAGCAAGTTGCCAAACCCAAGAGCCTTCAGAATGGAACTCGGGTACTTTCTTAGTATCTTAAAATCAACTTGTTCTATGAGGAAAAAAGTAAATGTCAGTTCTTTACTGAAATTAATTGTTCTTGGGGATGGGGCTGTGAAAAATACTGGACAACAGAGTTGCAGAATTCTTCTCATGGGATTTTGGCTTTTTCTGTCATTATCCTCTCCCAAGCAAAAACTTTACATTTGCTTTCAGTCATAAAACAAAGGAAGTAAGCCTGAAAACAAGTTCAGAGAGGAACTGAAGTTCAGAAATGTTGCAGTTTGAGATAATTGATATTTAGGGGTTTTTAAATGGTTTTTGAGTCCTGTAGCTGTTCAGATACCCTCAGGTTCTGGGGAGATCTAATTTAGCTTGTGTTTGCAGTTTACCCCTTTGTGTCTTACTAATGTGTCTGTCCTCTGTTTAAAAACATTCTGTGTCAGTGATGGCTGATTTACAGGCAATAATAATGCTGATTTTTTTTTTTTCAATACTGTTCTTATGTGCATTTGGAGGATCAAAATATTCTGCCCCAAGTAGGAAACACGTTTGGTCCAAATACTTCGTTTTGACTTTGTCAGAGGAACTTAAGAGTTATCCTTTCTGTTTCTTGTTAGTTGAGTTGGTTTTGGTCCTAGCAATCTTTATTTATAACAATGATTTATTCTTTAGGTAATTGGAGTTTTAAGGTATTTACATTTCTGATGCTCACTGCACAAACCTTGAGACTGGGAATGGATCTTTAAAGTCTGTGCAGCTTGTATAAGTGAATTTATTCCAGGTAAGCTCAACAGTTGAAATGTTTTGAGTGAACAACCTTCCTGCAAATATACTGCCCATGGTGCCCTGACAGGCTGGGAGGTGGGTGATGTTTTCTTGGAATCTTCAGCTAGTTCTAAATCATGTAACAAAGCAGGAGTTTTGTCATGGTTGTGATGCCCCTTAAATTCTATAACCCTTTTACTGAGTCATTGATTCAGTAAATCAATGATCAGTTGATTCATTTTTGAAATTTAAAATTATAATATTGCCTCTTTTCATTATTTTTGAAGTTAATGCAGCATTTAAGCAGTATGATACATATTGCTTTGAACTTACGAGCCAGTATCCTAACAGAAAGAGACAGGTAACATTTATTATGGATACTGGTGTAGCAGACTGAACTGCAGATTCAGTTACTTATGATCTTGAGTTTTAGTATCCATTAAAAACTAAATGCTTATTATAAGTTCATCTCCCTGAATTTTTATTTATTATTTTTAGCCCTTATTTAGACAGTGTGCGTGCAGACAAGGAAAATCTTCTATGTACCTGCATGGTTTTTGTGATTTTCCTTATGTCTCATGATTTTAATCAACAGGAAACTGAGATGACTTGAGGAAAAAACCATGCTACTGTCGGGCACTATTTCCTGTTCTTGATCTTTGAAGGTACTGGGGGAGGCAAAGTTTAAACTGGATTATTTTATTAAATGGTCTCTGCAGGTGATACTGGGTTTTGGAGAAGGCATTCTTGTAAATAGGCTCTGTGTTCAGGTTGGTTTATCACAGATGTTCGAAACCCCAAGAAGTGTTACCTTTACAATTCTAGCAAGAGAGATTTCCTCAGAAAGGGGTGCCAGTACCTCTTGTATTTGACACCAATGCCACAGACAGAGAGCCTGCCTTGGATGTCAGTGATGCTGGTAACAGCTCAGCATAGAGTCAGGAACAGGGGCACATGTGGTTCCAAATCCATTTCAAGCATGGGATTGTGTCCTTCTGCTCAGTAAGCTTAGTAATGTAACAAAAAAGACAAAAATGCCTCCTTGCAAATGTTTTCAAACCTCCCACAGACAACAGGGAACAAAGCACATCATGATCAAGGGACAGGAACAACCCTGAGCTGGGGGTAGGCAGCAAGAGTGTTTGTCTCACAGTCTGGTCAGAACTGCTGTGCAGAACTGCTGCTGCTTCTCATCCTGCACTGCCAGCAGAAGTCAGTAATCCATTGCTAGGGACACACTCCTGTGGGTGTGCTACTCTTCTGCAGGCTTCGTATCACTCTTCCAATTGGTCAGAATAAAAACTCTTGGAGGATCCTGGAAGCCTTCCACAGAAGCATAGTTCCTTTGGATTCACTGGCCCTTTGTTTGGCTAACTTTGCCTTTTTAAAAGTCTAAAAATTACATCAAGCTTCAGTGAAGGAGTCACATGCTCTTTCAGTGGGGGATACTGTGACTGCAACACATCAGTGAATCGGTGTTTTAGGGATTTGCTCCTCTCTGATAGCAGTTCCCAGCGTGTTTGCAGCTTGCATCACTGGAAGTGGATTGTTTTGTAGTTTGTATCCACTTTGCAACAGGAAACTACAGCTATTCAGGCAGCTCTTCAAGCAGCTCTTGAATCCAAGAATCTTGTGATTCTGCTTCTCTCCTGAGTCATTTGGCTGCCTTGATGCAGTTGTGAACTCCTGTGAGGGATGCTGCTGGTTCTTGCTGATTTTGTTTTGTCTTCATTTTTACATGTGAAGTCCACAGTTTCATTGGTTCAGTCTAGTGACTGAGTCAAGTCTGCAGTGACAACTGTTGACTGACTTCCAACTTGGAAGTTTAAAGCTCCTTACACTAATCTAGGGCTGCACAAAATAAGGACCACTGCTTTTATCTGTAACAGTGTTTCTTTGTGGTGTCATGAGAGTTTGTTTATACTATGGAAAATCCTGTCTTGGTGAGAAGGTTGAAATATTGTGTAAGCCTTGTCATGAAGAGCTCAAAATACAATATTCTGGCCTCATTAAAAATGTAGCTATGTTAAGTAAAATAAATAAATGAAAAGGCAGCCTGCTGGCAACTGGACTAGTGCTGCAAGAAGTTGTTTTACTTGCAGCTCTCTTAGTCATGCCATGGCTTTAAACAAGCAGTTACAGTGGATCTTAAAGGCTGTGTGGAATGAAGCAGTGGGGTTCTCAGGGTTGAGTGGACAGTTCACATGTATGGCTGGTGTAGCAACAGTTCAGGGATAACCTTTACTGAAAACTGGGAGCAATTTATGTGTAAGACAACGTGCAGGAAGATGATGAATTTTGCTTATTTGGCATATTTTCCCAGGTTTTAATCAAGACGACAATGCTCAGGGATTTCCTCTTGGTTTCAGCACCCGGGAGCTTGTTTTAAAGACTGTTTGTGATAATTACAGCTTCAGTCCTAGGTTCTGCGCTCAGTGACTTGTAAACTTTTCCAGAGTTAAGTAAATTTAAGCTATAACGTGTATTTCAAAGGGGTATGGTCTTTAGATTTATCATTCCTGGTAAGTTACTTAAATAAAAAGTTAGATCACTTTTCTTCCAATAGAACAGAATCCCACAAATAGTTAATGCCTAACTTAGAGTGATTTGTTATACAAAATGTTGGCATTTTTGATAAGATTAATATATTTCAATGAAAAAAAGCAGAAAATCTTTTTGAATTCAAATGTGCAGTTCCTTTAATCTAAAATGGTATTATGAATCTTTGGCCTTCTCTAGATGATTCTGAATTTCTCTAGATGCAATCTAAAAATAAAAAGGTGAATTTCCTAACAAAGCCTTAGAAAATAAATTACTATTCCTTTTTCCTCTATGCATTATCATGGTTTGCATCAGCTGTAATACAGTTACAAGTGACTTGCAATAGTTAATATAAGAGTATTGAGAGCTCTTAAAATTATACTAAATTTTCAGGACCTAAAGATAAGTTCAGTAT